GAGGAATATAAATGGCACTATTAAAAGGTAATTTAGATTAGCCTCACTTGAGCATTTGGCTTGATTGGACTGTTATATCTTGTCATATATATTTAGATAAAATAGACTAATCAAACAAAGAGCACAACTGAGGCTGTGGCAGAAATGAGATATTTTCAGTGTCCGAATAGCTTGTGAATTGCAAGGTCTGAATGACAGACCCTATAATATGAAAGTTGCAGGTACCATCCTTCTTGCAGAGAATGCCATGTGTTCAGGTGATTCCTAAGAAACATCCTGTTAATCTTCTAGTTTGTCTAGGGGTGGGTTCCATCCTCATTACTGAGTCCTGTCCTTGAAGCCAAATCAATGCATTCAGAACTGTCAATTCCTCTGGTTGTTTTTGAAATCTGATTTCTTCACAGAGCACTGTGCATAAGTAGTTTGCGCCAGCCAACTCGTTTTAAAGGTCAACACCAACACTTTGAATTGTGCTCGGAAACGTACTGGGAATCAATGTAGGTCTTTCAAGACTGGTGTTATGTGGTCTCAGCGGCCGCTCCCAGTCACCAGTCTAGCTGCCGCATTCTGGATTAGTTGCAGTTTCCGGGTCACCTTCAAAGGTAGTCCCACATAGAGCGCATTGCAGTAGTCCAAGCGGGAGATAACCAGAGTATACACCACTCTGGCAAGACAGTCCGCCATGCAAAAAAAATCTTGATTCAATTGCATTCATTCATACATTCATTTAATGAATTTTTACCTCACTTGTCAGCCAGAAAAGCTCCCAGAGCAGTTTACAAATCCATAAAAATAAAGCAGTCCCTGCACATTTTAAAATACCATGAAGCACAAAGAAAAAAGATATGGGGAGGTAGGAAGAAAACAAGCAAACCCAGGCACCAAGGGAGGACGTCAACGATGTGTTTTTTTGATGGTTCCATCAGTGCTGGCTAGATTGAGTTATTCTGACCCCTCCTCCACGCTCTTCTTTTGACCCCACAGGACAGAACTGAGCAAGGCATGGGGTATGCCTAGGAGGAGAGGGGGAAAGCCCTGTTGCATTAGCGGGACCCTCTGTGCTGGCTTCTGCTAGGGCACTGGGATAGCTGAATGCAGGCCCAAATGCTGAATGTTGCAAGGTGGTTCTTACAACCAGTTGGCCTTGTATTATGCTGGCAGGTAATATACACAAGATTTCTCCATGCTGGTCACATATCTTTGGAATGCCCTTAAAAAACCACCTTCTGAGGACATTTTTATTCCACTCTGCTTTTGTTTGACTTAGGCTGAAATTTATTTCTTCCTTGATGCTACTGGACAGTAGCAGCTAGTGTGGTGGCAGAAGCAGAACTCACCTGATGTCCTATCAACAAACCTTCTAAAATATTTGTGCCTGTCAGTCTCCGTCCTGACTCTGAATTGATTTCATGTATGCATTGTTGTTTCCAACTGTTTTAATATTTGTAGTGTTTTAGAAAATTGTTTTGATATGCAGTTGATTTAATTATTTTAATATATGTCATTATATTGTAAATGGCTTTGAGATGCCTTAAGGAAAGCAATTCATAAATGAAATTAATAATAGTGGTAATAATGTTGTTGTTGTTTAATTGTTTAGACTTTTAGTTGTGTCCGACTCTTCGTGACCCCATGGACCAGAGTACGCTAGGCACTTCTGTCTTCCACTGCCTCCCGCAGTTTGGTCAAACTCATGCTGGTAGCTTCAAGAACACTGTCCAACCATCTTGTCCTCTGCCGTCCCCTTCTCCTTATGCCCTCAATCTTTCCCAACATCAGGGTCTTTTCCAGGGAGTCTTCTCTTCTCATGAGGTAGCCAAAGTATTGGAGCCTCAGCTTCACGATCTGTCCTTCCAGTGAGAACTCAGGGCTGATTTCCTTCAGAATGGATAGGTTTGATCTTCTTGCAGTCCATGGGACTCTCAAAAGTCTCCTCCAACACCATAATTCAAAAGCATCAATTCTTCGGCGATCAGCCTTCTTTATGGTCCAGCTTTCACTTCCATACATCACTACTGGGAAAACCATAGCTTTAACTATACAGACCTTGTGGTAATAATAGTATGATCCAAAACAGTTACAATGGTTGCATATTCTACCATTGTTTTCAGCAGTCAAAAGTTGGAATAGCTTAGTGCACAGTTCACAAATGTATGCTCAGTGCATTCTTTGTGTTATGCCAGCGCAAGATTGTTGAAAATTACTGCCAAGCTGAAAATGTCCTTGGAGATTTTTCTCTGGCAAACGTTCCTGCCTTTCAGGAAGGAGAAAGAGCTACGTTTGTGAGGCCTTGCCCTACTAGTGAGCGACTTGCCTAAAAAACACAAAGACGTTAGAGAATTGCCACAAACAATAGTAATGCCTTTCCCTGCACTATTCTGCCCTTCATGGGATTGTTGTCCCTTTTACATGGGAACTTAGTTTATCATCATAAACTCATCCTTAGAACTACAGGCTCAGGGACAGCCTTTTCCATCAAATGAACAAGGCTAGATAGCCTGCAGCTGGATTTGCAGCTGCAACCTACCACTTAAGAAAAGGCACCGTCAGACAGAAGAATGCAACAAAAAATATGACTCCAGCTTTCATCAGAAAGAACTAAAGTAAAAGTATGTAGAGAAAAGATTACTAGAACTCATATCAAGGGGGTGCTGTCGATGAAATAAAGCGCCTTTCTGCATTAGGCTACATAACAAAAAGAAAAGAACAGGGGGGAATATTTCCAAAATGTATTGCAGCGTCCCTCAGGAAAGGTGGGGTGAAACCCTGAACTAGTGATAGAAATTGTTTTGACAGCACTCTTTCCACATGGGATGTGGGTTAAGACAGTGATTTCCCCCCCATAAAAATAGGTGCCAGAGCTCACCATGAAGTTGTTACAGTAAGTCACCAGGTGACTCAAGGCAGCCCTGAATAGACACTGGTTTGACAGTAGCCATGTTCACTGCCCACAGAGGAGCTAAAAACTATGGCAAACTAAGCGGCGGAGTAGGAAAGGGGTGGAGAAGATACTGCCCACTCTCCTTCTGCTCTCCTCCCTTGGGTCAGGCCTGACCTGGGGGGCGGAGCTGCACCAGACACAAGTGGCGCGGCCAAGGCTCAGTTCCTTGTGGCACAGAGCCAGGGTCTGATGAAGGAACCTTCATCAAAATTGCACCTGGGGCCCCATGGCACACACATACCCCACTATGCCTCTGAGCAAGCGGTCTCCCTAGCTGGTTTGTGGGTCACCCTTATTTCTGGTGCAGGACAAATAAATGCACCCCTGCTTCCCTTGTCATCTTAGATTCAGGCAGATGGCTAGGGAGCCAGTAGGGTGTAGTGGTTAAGAGGGATAGACCAGTAATCTGGGGAACCGGGTTCGCATCTCCGCTCCTCCACATGCAGCTGCTGGGTGACCTTGGGCTTGTCACACTTCTCTGAAGTCTCTCAGCCTCACTCACCTCACAGAGTGTTTGTTGTGGGGGATGAAGGGAAAGGAGAATGTTAGCGCTTTGAGACTCCTTAGGGTAGTGATAAAGCGGGATATCAAATCCAAACTCTTCTTCTTCTTCTAGGGCAGCTCAGAAGTACCTTCGCACAAATGCATGTGCATGCAACAGTAGATGCCTGGCTGGAAAAATTAAAGCCTGCCACCACTACACAGGAGATGCATTGAAGTCACTGATCTAAAAAAAAAAAAGGGGAGACTTTCACGCACTAGCCAGCTTCCACTTTGACTTTGTTTCGTTTTGGGCTTCTAAGAAGTACTCAAAGGCAAGAAGTGGGCAGGGGGAGTGCTGACCCACAATTGCACCCATCTGAGAGGTGCCAGAACTGCACTTCGGCATGCTCAGGTGGAAAAAAGCACTGGGCTAAGGAAGGATTGCTGGGAGGTGTATGGGTCGGGATGGAATAGTATAACATATATGATTGAAAAATGTCAAAGATCACTGACTCAGAAGGGGATTTTTAAAAAAAGTTCAGTGGGTAATGGCATAACCCACCCTTCTCCGACATGGCAACCTCCAGGTGATTTGAACTACGACTCCCATCAGCCCCAGACTAGGGCTGGTGGCCGTTGTCATCTGAAACACCTGGAAGGTTGGCGAAGGCTGGCATAATTAAACGGCAAAAGGTGCAATACCATTTAGCTCATCACAGGCAACTGTTCTCAATCAAATCCACATTATGTAAGTTTGCTATAGCAATGATAATCACGGCTCATCATTTTGCAGCACTTACAGAACGTAAATTGCTTCACAATGCCGCTCATACATCTTTAGCCTAGCGACGGAGTCATCAATTTTCCTGAGATTACAGATGTAGAACTGAGGCTGAGACAGAGTGAAGTTGAAGAGAGACAATGTAGCAATTACTGTATCGGTACCCAATGCCTGGGCCAGGTAAAAACAAACAAGCAACCCAACTATCAAAGCTGAAGTAAAGCTCTCATTCTGCGCACCAAGGATAGGACACCTGTGGTCCTCCGGATACTAATTAGACTCCTGTCAGCCCTAGAAAGGTCAGTGGTCAAAGACGATGGCAGCTAAAGTCCATCTGGAAGGGCCATAGGTTCCCCATTGCTGCCTTAAACATTTACCTGAACACAATGGAATTTACATCTGAGCAAACATCTACATTCATGACTTGAAATATTTTGCCCTGTGTAAGGGCCTTCCAGATGGGACTCGGGTGGCGCTGTGGGTTAAACCACAGAGCCCAGGACTTGCCGATCAGAAGGTCGGCGGTTCGAATCCCCGTGACGGGGTGAGCTCCCGTTGCTCGGTCCCTGCTCCTGCCAACCTAGCAGTTCAAAAGCACGTCAAAGTGCAAGTAGATAAATAGGTACCACTCTGGCGGGAAGGTAAACGGCGTTTCTGTGTGCTGCTCTGGTTCACCAGAAGCGGCTTAGTCATGCTGGCCACATGACCCGGAAGCTGTATGCCGGCTCCCTCGGCCAATAAAGCGAGATGAGCGCCGCAACCCCAGAGTCGGCCATGACTGGACCTAATGGTCAGGGGTCCCTTTACCTAAGGGCCTTCCATATTGGGATTTCAAGTATCTTGAGGGATGCTACTGTAAGATCTCTTCAGGTGAAGGATATTGTCCTGCTCATTGGATTCCCAGAGACATTTAGTTGGCCACTGTGAGAACAGGATGCTGTGCTAGATGGGCCTTCGTCTGGAGCTCTACTTATGCTCTCCTCCCACTCTTTTTTTTTTTTTTTTTTTTTGGAGCTCAGGTGACTAAGAACATTTGCCTTGGTTATTGTAGCTGATAGTCACATGGAGTCCTTTCTGGAGGTACTCAGGGGTATGCAGTACCAGCACCTTCTTTTTCAAATGTGGCACTTCATGGTGAATATCAGCACCTCTTTTTCTAAAAAAAAAAGAAAAATGGAACTCAGGGGAAAATTCAGCGAACCACTGGTTTGGTCAGTTCTGATGCTTAAAAAAATCCACTTTCTGCCTAATCAAGAGAAATACATTACATTCAGAGATTTGGCTTCGCTAAATAGAAAGTGAAGATAGTATGTATCAAAAATAAATGCCCCAAACTGTCAAAATGTGCCTTTATATTAAGATATGACTTTAAACACATCTTAAAGACATGTGCACCCAGTTTGATAGCTTGCTTTTTGTGGGTATGAGGCAGGTGTCAGGAGCCAGCCAGCAGCAAATCACGCTGTCCAAATGGGAGTTAACTCTTTATTAGCAAACACAAAATCAACACGGGAGTTTCAGGTCAAATGAACCCAGCAGCTCACCTCCGGAGGTTCTTGCATCCAGGAAGCAGTAGCTGAGACTGAAAATCCCTGCCTCCCCACAGCTGCCTAAGTCCCCTCCTTTCCAGGGCTTTCCCCAAGCAACTGGAGACTGGAGGGGCAGAGGAAGGGGTGGCGGTGGGGGTGGACCGCCCCGGGTGCCCTCACTGAAGGGGGTGACATTTGGCGCACCACCCGCCCATGGCTCCCAAGCCTACCCCAGCCGTCAGGGTAAGAGAACTGTGCCGCTTTGCTGGCGGCATGCCCCCCCTTCCCCCTTCATTTTGACAGCTTGGGGGAGTCGCGGGCGGGCAGCGGGCTGAATGTCCGCCATGGGCGGCTCGCTTCACCCCTGGCTGCAGGGTATGTGCGCCACTCAGGGAACCCGAGTGGCTATCCCGCGCCTGGGAGGGCACCCTCTGTGCGATGCCCCCCTCGGGAGTGCACTCACCCTGGGCAGAGTGGGCATATGCTCCACCGCTGACTGAAGACTGCATCTGCACGGTGCCAATCTCTCCTCTGTCATCCAATTCTCTCTCCCCCACCTGGGTTTGTGTGTTTTTTAATACTAGCCTTATGCATTTGTTGTTGTTGTTTAGTCGTTTAGTCGTGTCCGACTCTTCATGACCCCATGGACCAGAGCACGCCAGGCACTCCTGTCTTCCACTGCCTCCCGCAGTTTGGTCAAACTCATGCTGGTAGCTTCGAGAACACTGTCCAACCATCTCGTCCTCTGTCGTCCCCTTCTCCTTGTGCCCTCCATCTTTCCCAACATCAGGGTCTGTTCCAGGGAGTCTTCTCTTCTCATGAGGTGGCCAAAGTATTGGAGCCTCAGCTTCAGGATCTGTCCTTCCAGTGAGCACTCAGGGCTGATTTCCTTCAGAATGGATAGGTTTGATCTTCTTGCAGTCCATGAGACTCTCAAGAGTCTCCTCCAGCACCATAATTCGCAAGCATCAATTCTTCGGCGATCAGCCTTCTTTATGGTCCAGCTCTCACTTCTATACATCACTACTGGGAAAACCATAGCTTTAACTATACAGACCTTTGTTGGCAAGGTGATGTCTCTGCTTTTTAAGATGCCGTATGCATAGGTTCCCAAAATGGCAAGCAAGCCAATGGGTTTCAGATAGCCCCTGAGAATATGTAAAAAATGTGAATTTGAAAGAGCCACAAAAGCAGTATAGAATAACCTATTGCAGATTATTGTTGCTCTCTTCTCCCCCTGCCACTCCTTTAACATGAAATCTCTTAAGATTTAGGACAATTTGCATGTCAACAACTGCCTAGGACTGAGAGGGAGCTCTCTTTGGAGAATACACTTTGTATCACAAAGGTAAGGACCCCATTCTCTGGAGGGAAGCATCCTATTGATTTTTGTTGTGCTCTGGTAAGCAGATCAGGGGCAGGGAAGGACTGTTGCTTACCTTGAGGAATTAAGCTTTTGTTGGACAGCAAAAAAGTGGCAATCCATTATGTATAAGATCCTTCAAATCAGTACTGCAAAATTGTGCTATAAGTACTTTGGGGAACATTTGCTTTTCTTCTAGAGAATAGGACAGAAAAAAGCAACCTTTTTCATCTTCGACAGCCACGCTGATTTTGATAATATTTAAGGCCTGAGGGAAGAACGCTAGTGTTTTAATAAAGAGGAAAAACTTGTCTAACGTGTTTCGTTTCCCTTTTTTTTCAACGGGTTGTCTTGAGATCACAGGAAGGTAGCATTTTTCTCTCTGCTTTGTTTCTATAAGAACAGAAGGGTTGGTATTGGGACCTGTGCTTTTTAACTTGCTCATAAACAATCTAGAGCTGAGAATGAGTAGTGAGTTGGCCACGTTTGCTGGCGATATTAAATTGTTCAGGGTCATTAAAACAAAACTCAATTGCAAAGAGCTCCAAAAGAACCTCTCCAAACTTAGTCAATGATGAGTAAAAAAAAATTATTGTTGTTATTATTATTATTATTATTATTATTATTATTATTATTTATACCCCACTCATCTGACTGGGTTTCTCCAGCCACTCTGGGTGGTTCCCAACAGAATATTAAAAACACACAAAAAATCAAACATTAAAAACTTCCCTAAACAGGGCTGCCTTCAGATGTCTTCTAAAAGTCAGATAGTTGTTTATTTCCTTGACATCTGATGGGAGGGCATTCCACAGGGCAGGCGCCACTACCGAGAAGGTCCTCTGCCTGGTTCCCTGTAGCTTCACTTCTCGCACTGAGGGAACTGCGAGAAGGTCCTCGGCGCTGGACCTCAGTGTCCGGACTGGACGATGGGGGTGGAGACATTCAATTCAGTGTACGCAAGTGTGAAGTGATACATGTCAGGGCAAATAATAATAATTCTTAATTTCACATATGCACTTATGAGATCTGAACTGGTGGCGTATGGCCAGGAAATGAGATTTTGGGGTCGTAGTGGGTGGTTTGGTGAAGCTGTTGATCTAGTCTGCAGCAGCTGTGAAAAGGGGAAATCTTATGCTAAGCAGTATTATGGAAGGAAGTGAAAGTAAAACTGCTGATATCATAATGCCGTTATATAAATATATGGTGTAACCGCATTGGGAATACTGTGTACAGTTCTGGTTGCCTCACCTGAGAAAGGCTATAGTAGAGTTGGAAAAAGTTCAGAAAAGAGCATCCAAGGATCAAGGAAATGGAGGAATTCCTCTGTGAGGGAAGGTTGCCGCATTTGAGACTTCAGTTTAGAGAAAAAGCAAGTAAGAAGTGACATGATGGAAATTTATGAAACGATTCATGGCATAGAGAAATGGATAGAGAAAAGTTTCTTTCCCTTTCTCATAACACTATAACTTTTTTAAATTATTGGAAAGGGTTCAGTTATAAAGAAATAAGCTGATGCAAAGAAAAAGAGAAGAAGAAAAGAAAAAGAAAATGGCACAAAAATGTGTAGGGGGAAAACCCATATATGAAAAATAACCTTACCCATACATTCTTTTATAAATTTGATATTATTATCCTAATACAGATGTAAATATTAATAGTCTGCTACATTTTCTAAAACTTATTCCAAATATTGCCATATTTATCCAAACAAAGACTAAGCAGTCCGTTCATAAGTTGCAAGGGTTATCATATTGTCTATGCATTTAGGAAAGGGGATCATATCTTTATTCTTCCACTTCATCAATATCAGTCTCTTGGCTACCATTGGAGCGCGTATAATTTATTTTCATCACACTAGAACTTATGGGCAAACAAGGAAGCTGAACTTTGGAAGATCTTTCACAGATAAAAGGAAGTACTTTTTCATGCAGCGCCTAGTTGCATTTGCAGCCACAGGAGGCTGTGATGGCCAACAACTTGGATGACTTTAAAAGAGAATTAGACAAATTCGTGGAAGAGGAGGCTACAAGCCATGTATCTAGCTGCCAGTTGCTGCAAATATCAGGTGGGCAGAGTGCTTCTGTGCTCATGTCCAGCTTGCAGGCTTCCCACAGGCACCTGGCTGGCCACTTGGAAGACTAGATGGGCCACTGGCCTGATCCCGCAAGCTCAAATTATGTTCTTTTAAAAATTACATACATCAGACAATCCAGCTACAAAAGGATTCCTTGTTTACCCTAATCAGCAGTCACAGGTTGTGTTTTATGCTTGTAATTCTGAAATTGCTTGACAGAGACAAAAACGTTTTTAATGTTTAGAATTAGATATGCAAATATTTGAGCAAATCTGATGTGAACAGGTGTTTGTGAGATGGATGGATGTCTCTTCATGTGCAAATATTTACAGCTGTCCAACTTTGCAGCTGAGCATTTATACTGTGCTTCTATTTTGGAATGGGCCAGCCAAAATGGGGCTTTCAATTTGACGCTCTCTCTCTCTCTCTCTCTCTCTCTCTCTCTCTGTGTGTGTGTTTTTCCAAAGCAAACAAAGCCTGTTAACATATATATTTTTTTGGGAGGGGGGAATCTAGGCAACCCCAGACAGAAGATTAAATTTGAAATGGTCATGCTCTGAATTGTGCAGTCAGAACCACTGTTTAGAATTGTTGTTTAAGCAGCAACAATGTGGTAAATTAGTCACCCGCCATAGAAATGCTAGAAAGAATGTAAAAACAGAATAACAAAAAACATCAGTGGTCTAAGAAAGTATTCCCCAATCAGATGGCCTCCAGGTCTTTTGGACCACAACTTCCATCATCCCTGACAATTGGCCACAGTTTGGGGAAGCCTGGTCTATGAATATGACATAAGAGGAAACACTGAAGTAAATGATTGCTTCTTTCCATCCTATTACCTTCTTCAAAGATGAACTGTTCCCTTCCATCTTTCTTTTGAAATGTGGCCATCAGAACTGAAGAGTATTCTAGTAAAGGACTCCCACCCAAGAGCTGCTGTCAGTCAGATGGGACAATATTGGGCTCATTTGACCTGGTATAAGGTCGCTTCCTGTGTGCCTGTTCTGTGAACATCACCATACTCACTGCCAAGCCCAACATTGAATAGAGTATGGTAAGTATCTCATTATTCTTCCTTGTAATTCCACTACAAAGACTCTCCTCCTGCAAAAGAGGGGAGTGGTTGTGGGCGGGAGCCGGTTTCCGCCTCAAGCAGGGGGCGTTAGCCCCCTGCCTCCCACTCACCTGGCTGGCGCCCATGCCCACTGACAGGCACCCAACCAGGTGCCTTCGAGGGGGCGTGTACGGCAGCGTAAATTGCTGCGGCGCCAGCCTCCTGGCCTCACTCTTCGTCGTCCCATCGCGAGTCACCCACCCTCCACTCCCTTAGAGCTCAGGGTCTCAGTTTTCTTTTGGCCTTGCTATGGACCTTAGGTTGGTCGCCCAGGTTGTCCAGGGGGCCTGGTAGGAATTTTTCCATTGGCATTAGGCTTTTTGGTTTTTTCGCCTACCTCGTAGCAATCGTCACAACTTTCGTGGTATTGGTGGGTAGGTTAGGCATTGGAATAATGTGTTGTGGTGTGTGGAAGGGCTAGGTGTGGTCATCGCCTATGCCTTCAATTTTGGGTATTCCGTTAAAGGAATCCGGTGGTCGTGTATTCTGTCCGATGCCTGCGTGGCGGGAGGCCATGGCACGACCCTCGGTGACATCAGGGGAGAGCTTATAGTTGGATTAGCATCAACAGGCTCCACCTACTGGTGAATAAACCCCCCTGTTTTAGACTCACCCCTCTCCGAGTGGGTGGAGTCAGCTGACATAATCCAGTGCCTAAGCCAATACCTTTTCACTTGCTGTAATCAATAAAGTCGTGGCCTTTTCTTGCCTTATATCATGTGTCCTTGTGTTTTCATTCCACTATGCGGGGATCGGGTCCTCGAACCACAACCCTTTGCTTTTGTTGCAAAGACACTAACTTCTCACCATTAATGATGCCCTCAACCCCCAGACCTTCTCTGTTTTTCCTTGGTAAACAAACATTCCCAAAGCTGTTATTGTACCTTGGTTTGTCCTGATGAAATGCAGGGCCTTACACTTACCCTTATTAAATTTCATCCCATTTATTTCTGCCCATTATCCCAAATTGTTGAGAGTCTTGAATTATGCTCTTGTCATCCAAAGTGCTTGCAATCCCTTCCAGTTTCATAGTGACAACTTTAGTAGTGTGTTTTCTGTTCTGTTCTCCATGTAATGAATGAATACATTAAGCTTCACTGGACCTATAATAGAGACTTGTTGTATGCCGCTTCGTATAATGATAGAATCAAAGAATTGGAAGGATCATCTAGTTCAGCCCCCTGCAATGTAGATGTCCCATACATGGAACAAACCTGCAACCAGCTGATGGATGGTTGCTTTCTTCAACCTTGCTTTCTACAAGGATCAGCTATTGATTAAATTCGCTGCAGGGAACTCAGTCAAGCAGCTGATCCACCTCCATCTCTGCCTGCTCCAAATTTAATGCCATGTGTGACATCAGGTGTGGAGTAGGTGGGCATGGTTGGTGAGGGGGAAGAGCCTTACAAGCCAGACTGAGACACAGTCTGGGCCATATTTGGCCCTTGGCCTGGAGGCTCCACACTTTTGCCTTATAGGTTAAGACCAGCACTTTGCATTGGACTCAGAAATATATTTGCAGTTGTTGCAACTGTGTATTATGATCTAACCACTGTGTCCCTGTTCCCAGTCTATCTGCTGCATTCTGCACCAGCTGCAGTTTCCAAACTGTGTTCAAAGGCATCCCCACATATAGCAATTTATTCCTAATTTATTCTACTAAACAGAATGCCTGAGATGTGAATGACTGGACTCTCCCATTCCCATGCACATTGCAATACTCTAGTTCATAGGAACCAAATCATTACACAAGGTACATACATCCATACTAGCTCCTTGTCGCTAGCTTCTTAATTCTTGTTTTAAATGAAACTGCTACATCGACGACATTTGCCCTTTGGTTCGCTATCAGGATCCTGGACACTGATCTTTGCATCACACGTAGGATCTTTCTGACATCCTCTGGCCCAGAAGAAAAGATTCTCTTTTACAAATAATTGCTCAGAATTTCCTTGGAGCGAAACGCAGGCATGAGCAGGTTCTGTGGTGCGCTTAATACTCTACCGTCTCCTCGGCCAACTGTACTTTGATGTAATTCCAGATGGCAGTTTCATACTTGTTCCTTTATGATATCCAATCCTCATTGTGCAAGGTGATTATATTACAAAAAGAAAATAGCAGTTGAACAATTACATCTCAATTACACATGTTTATTGAGCGACGAGGGAGCCATCACTAGCCACTTCCTGCTCAGTTTAGCTCAGTTATTAGTGATAAGTACCACAAGAGGGATTTCAAGTGTATGTCAAATAACCGATCAGCTTTTGTGAAAATGACAGCCCAGAGTTCCATAAATGTTCCCCTGTTGGAGATGTTCATAAGAAGAAATGTGGCCAACTAACAAAAACAACTTTTTTCTCTTCGGTTATTTCTGCTTCCTTTTCCCCATTGTTGATCACAAGCAGAAAGAAGAAGGAATCAACATTTTAAGCTAGCAATTGCCGACGGGCAGAACAGGATGTTGTTGTTGTCCTTCTGTAGTTATTTTTGCTCTATTGGAAAGACAGCAGTTTAACACGGCAGCCTGCTCCTCTGCCTGTATGTGGGCTCTGAACGGGGGGAGAGGGAGGGAGAGGGCGGCAGGCTGCTGATTATGGATGAAAACTTGTCTATGAGCTGATTGCATTCCAAAGATCTGAAGGAAGGGAAGAAGGAGTTCCTATAGAGCAGTGATGGGGAACCTGTGGCCTTCTAGGTGTTGTTGACTAGTGGAAGGAGAACTCTGTTAAGAACCCCTGCAGTGACATTGGTCACCATGGAAATTCAAAATAATAGGGAGCATTGGTGATGGTAAGTGTTGGTTATTTAGCGGAGGGGAAAATATATCTATCACATATGGTGGAAGTGCCAAAAAGTGAAGGAATTGTGACCTACAGCAACAAACATAATTAGATAATATTCCCAAATTGATGTTCCATTAGATACCTGGGTATGTCTATTCTCTGTTGAACTAAAAATGCCATCCTTATACAGGGCAAAGGTTGCTGATATCCTAACCATGGCAAGGATTTTGTACACTGAATTATGGGGAAAACCTCAAAAACTGAGGGCAGTATCCACTGCAGGAGTTCCTTTAGCACGAGCAGTCTTCTTCTTTTTTCTTTTTGGCAATCACTCTTAGCCGAGTAAGACTGTCTTCCACAGAGACAGATTGAAATTGCAGAGTTTTGAAAAACTAAAAAATAAAGTGCGAGATTGGCTTCATTATTATCAGATAATGGAGGCATATAATCTGGACAAGAAAATTGGCTTCCAGGTGGAAAAATCAAAATTAGAAACAGAACTGTTAGAACCCAAAACAAAGATTTTGTCAAAGATGTATAATTTGCTGTTGAAATGGAACACTCAGGATGAAACGGTTAAATCTGCTATGATTAAGTGGGCACAAGATGTTGGACATAACATAATGATGGCTAACTGGGAACAGTTATGGACCACAGGTATGAAGTTTACGGCATGCAATGCCTTAAGAGAGAATATTATGAAAATGATATACAGGTGGTACATGACACCAGTCAAGCTTGCAAAAATCTATCATTTGCCCGATAATAAATGTTGGAAATGTAAAGAAACTGAAGGTACATTCTTTCACCTTGGTGGACGTGCCCAAGGATTAAGGCTTTCTGGGAGATGATTTATAATGAAATGAAAAGGGTATTTAAATATACCTTCTTGAAGAAACCAGAGGCCTTTCTCCTGGGCATGGTCGGCCAAACGGTGCTAAAGAAGGACAGAATTTTCTTTATGTATGCCACAACAGCAGCAAGAATACTTATTGCAAAGTATTGGAAGACACAAGATTTACCCACTCTGGAAGAATGGCAGATGAAGGTGATGGACTATATGGAACTGGCGGAAATGACTGGCAGAATCCGAGACCAGGGAGAAGAGTCGGTGGAAGAAGATTGGAAGAAATTTAAAGACTATTTACAGAAATACTGCAAAATTAATGAATGTTAGAATGATGTTAGAATGAAATTAAGTGGTCTTAGCAACAATGTTATAAAGGTGTATGTACAAATGGATTGTTAACAGATGAGAATCTAAAGTTATAATATGTTAAGTTAAAGGATTAAGATAAAAACAAAGAGGGAAAGGAATTGCTGAATTAACTAATAGAACTGGAATACAAAAAAGGGAGGTGTGAGGAAGTCAGGGAAGTAAGGAAATGAAATGTAAGCTATGGAAAGATCGATGTGTTTTTTATCTTTTTTCTGTATTTTGTATTTTTTTCTTTTTTCTTTTTTTCTTTTTCTTTTCTTTTTTACCTATGTAATCTTTTCTTTGAAACTTTAATAAATATCTTTAAAAAAAAAAAAAAGATTGTCTTCCACAAACACGGTTTTAACAGTGGGTCCGTAAGTGACTGTGGGGGCCAATTCTGGATCCACACGTCCTTCCACAGTGGGGACATTGGTTCCTGAGTGGGAGTTGATCATGGTGAGGGTTTGCCAAGCGTGCCTTCCTCTTAGCACGCTTCTCCCTTTTGTCCTGAGTTCGGGTGTCTTAAAAATCCATGACACCTTTGGTAAAGGCTGTTCTCCAATGGGAGCACTCACAGGCCAGTGTTTCCCAGTTTCCCTTTGCTCAATGGGCCTTCCTTTTCCTCTCCCTGTGTGCCCCCTGTGCCCCCTCCAAATTTGTCCTGGGGGGTTCCCCAACCCTCCAAAGTAGATTTGAGAAGAGGAGAAGGTGGGGGAAGTTCTGCCAGCTTTCTGGGCACATAGTATGCAGTAGTTGTGAGAATTTGGACTTATTATTATTATAATTAGCCTATTATTTTATTCCTTTTTATTTGAAAAATTTATTAGTCGAGCAATGGACAGTACTCTACTAATGTTTCTCTTGGTGGAAGTGTTTCCATTTGTGCAATGAGACTTACAACCCTCCCCTCTCCCCAAACCTGCTCTACAGGGCTGGGGACCCCCTAAAATGGATTTAGGGGCACATGGTGAGTGGAGAACATTTGGTTGCAGAAGTAGAAATCCTTGTGCTGGCAAAATGATTGTCTTAGCAATATGTTGGACTCCCCACGCTGTATCTCTCTCTATATCATGCATGTGTGTAAGATACACACACATACACACACTACAATACACAGCTGATATTATTAGAAGGCATTTATAAATAGCCAGGATTGACGTTACAAACAAATGCTCCCCTGCCCGAAAGTATCATACTATATTGTTTTAACTAATTAAACAATGCAAATCCATAATTCATAATTGGTAGTGTTCCATATCTTCTGCTACACTCAATAAAGTTTTGCCAGTTCACAAAGAATTCATCTAAGCACAAAGTATGCAGTCCCTGTGAGAATCTGGGCCAATTTCATAGTTCTTTCCTACCAAATAGAGTGTGTTCCGTCATAATTGAAATAAAAGAGTGAAAATACTGGGGTTTATACAGGTTCTATTCTGCTGTTCGATATCTCCTGCAGATTTTCTTCCTCTTTGATCCCAGGCTTTCTATCCTAATCTTTTATCACCAGTTCCTCTTGAGCCCTGTCCATCTCTAATTCTTCTTTCTATGATGTGTATTATGGAAGAATCTGAAGGGAATTGAAGGTCATTTTGTACAGCCCTTACTCAGATGCTGGGCCTTCCAAGCCCGACACCCCTAAATTATCCAGATTAGTGGACCACAAGCAGAAAGCAAACCTGTGTAGGTTGTACGATATCAGACCTCCCTATAGGATAAGTTCTTGCATGCAACTATTTTCACTTCGCTTGTTAATTATTATTATTTTCAGTTCTAACCATCAGCCTTTACTCTGCACTTAACAGAACTCTGCTTTTGCCACTGAGTTTCTTCGGACAACAAGCAAGCCCAGCCATGAATTCAGCATGTGCTATTGGTGTTAAAATCAGAGAAATCAATAACATCTGGGTCAATAAAAAGGAACCCCCCAAAAAGGCAAAGTAATTGATCACATTTTTGCTTGATAAGG